TTTAATAGGTGTACAACAATAGGGTTTCCAAGTTATACCACTTATGTTTTAATAGATGTACAACAATAGGGTTTCCAAGTTATACCACTTATGTATTAATAGGTGTACAACAATAGGATTTCCAAGTTATATCACTTATGTTTTAATAGGTGTACAACCATAAAGCTGAACGGATATTGTTTTTATTTAAGCTTAATATTAATGACCGTTTAGTTGTTAAACCGTCTTAAAGCCTACACAACACCAACAAAACAAGCTCATACTGTCTTAGACCGTACACAATAGGAATACCATGTAATTGTTAACAAAACAAGTTCACATTATCTTAGAGCGTATATAATATGAATATCTTCAAACTATCAACAAAAGAAGTTACACATTATCTTAGAGTCTACACAATATGAATATTTTCAAACTATCAACAAAACAAGTACACATTATCTTAGAATCTACACAATATGAATATTTTCAAACTATCAACAAAACAAGTACACATTACCTTAGATTCTACACAATATGAATGTCTTGTAATTGTTAACAAAACATTTTACGTTTAAACAGTTGTAGATATTTTATTATCATGCTTTTGAATTGCAGCCTTTTGTTAACCCTGAATTAACTATAAGGTTCGGACGCCATCTACTTTTTAAAAACATTTGCCTGAATTATCTATGCACCAAACCGCTTGATATTCCATTACTTTGTTGGTTAAGGATCTCTAATAACGCAAAACATAATGTAAACAAAAATATCACCAGTATTGCAATTAATCGAACATATTTTACATACAAAATGATTTATTTCAGTCAGTGTTTGATCGGTTTATTACACCGAGTGTTATAGCAGTGAATAACACAATATTACTGATTATGATGTGATTTTTAGATCAAACTGGAAGTCAAAGGTATGAAATAAAGTTGGTAATTTGAGAGTTAACAAGCTTATTAAATTTCAATTCTGAGGTGGTATTATACCAGAACGGTCATGAGTTCAAATACAAGTATCACTATCACACATAATGTCGTTTAAAGTATGTCAACATATTTTCGGGTGAGACGTCTGCTCGAAACTCTCAGAAAATAAGCTAGAAAATTGTTCATGTAAACATGTCAAAATATTCCATATTTTCGGGTGAGTTATGTTTGTTAACATGCTTGTTTCCATGTTAAGTTTGATGTCAATACTTTTGATGGGTGTTTTCACATTTCCTACTAATATTTCTATGCATATATATATTGGAGTTTTTGTTAAGAGTGAGACCTATACAAATTGAAATTACTAAGTGAAAATCAATAAATATCTCATTAACCACACATGTCTAGGATAAACGACAGTCAGCTTAAAATCGAAGTTAAGTTTTGAAAAAAATGTTACGAAATAACGTAAACACAAACGACTTTTAAAAGAAATATTTTTCTAAATTTCATTTTGACCTCATTGAAAATTTTATGAAACGTCATTGCCCGAAATGTTGTTTTCAACTTCGTCAACAAACTTGTATTAATTTGGCGAGTGTTTCACCTTGTTTGTTTTTTATACATCTTGTATTTTACTCGGTTACGCAGTTCCTTTATTACTAGAGTAGGAAATTATCAGTTCATTTCCAGATAAAAATCCGCAGTGGTTTGAAAATATGATCTGAAATTCGTTTGAGGCCACCTTAGTTCTCTCTTCATTTTATAACAATTAACTGGGGGGAGGGGGAGTTAGAATACTTTTGTCTTTCATTTGTTTTCTAACTATTATGTGTTGTTTATCTAGAACATAATTGGGGACTAAATTTTGCAAAATATTTACATACTTTTTATGATAGTATTTTTTTATGTTCAATTAAAAAATTTTTCGTCCTATAAATTTGATATGAATTACAAAGCTTAGTGTTATGTTTATATTTAACTAATATACTGAAACATGAAATAAACATTTTATTGTAGTACATATTGGAAATACACTAAGTTTAAGCTATCAAACAGCGTCTATTTTTAAACTATCAAGTAGCGTCTATTTTTATACTATTATACATACTGTATTTTTAAACAACTTTTATTCTTCTAGAAGAATGAGAAGGAAAGCTCATCAGTAATTAGGATTTTTTCTGAAGTTCAATTATTTTTCAGATTCAATACATATCTATGTTTTAAAAAATATTTAAAATCAATAGATGCTTCACAATGGGCTAAAAATATAACAAATTAGGGAAAAATATGCTGTGGTAAAAACAGCAGATAACAAATCATACATAGATTTTTGCTTTTTAAATATATTCATATATATTTGTTCTAACTGAACGCTTCTTGTAAGACATACATTTCAGGCTTACAAAAGCCATAACAAAAGAAAAAATTCTAAGCAAGATAACATCTGGTTTCGATAAAACAGAACTTCAAGCTTTCTGAGATTATTTCCAACTCAAACCTATTCGAAGAATGTTCTTATAAATCTCATTTAAAATAAGGTCAATACGTTATTGGACCTGGTTCGTTCCACGTTCAATATACGCTTTTTTCTCATATTTCATCATTCAGCTTTGTAATTCGTTTTCTGACACGTTTTTAGTACTATCAAACTTCAGGAGACTATGTTACAGAAACGTTACGTGATATATATATATAAATCACTTCAGCTTTTTCTTCCAAGTGATTTATTTTCCTCCCGTTTATCTTTAGCTTTATGACATGTTCTGTTTTACAACAAATCACAAATTACATTGTACCAGAAAATCTTATCAAACTTTAAGTCGTACAGATAATCTCTCTTAGATCCATAGATTATAGTTTAAAAATAGACGCTATTTGATAATTTAAAAATAGATAGTGTATTTTATAGTTTAAAAATACACGTTATTTAATAGGTTAAAAATAGACAGTGTATTGGATTTTTACGAGAAAATTGAAAGAAAAAACGTAATTATCGAACGTACTTTTTGAGTTAATTTTTCTAGTTGATTAAATGAAGAGAAAGAAGAAGAACTGAAATGAATTTAGCCATGTATTTTATTTAGTAAAAATGCTCCAAAGTATTACAATTGAAAGAAGTAGACATTATGAATTTAGTTAGGAAGAATATCTCAAATATGAGAGCTCAAAAATAAGAGATCAAGTCAGGGAACGACTGGCTACACTTGGTTTTCGGCTATAAACTTAAATACTGAAAGCTCGCGCATTTGATGTAGAAACACTCAAATAAGTAGATTTTTTTTCTCCAAGATATGTCGCAAATACGACAAGGATATTATCTCTCCAGATACAGAAATAGGTTTGATGTACATTTTTCGAAATTTCTTATAACATTGGTGAAGCACATCTTTCATTTACTACGATCTTTAATGAATAAATTGAAATGTTTATTCGTAACTTTCTCCTAGCTACTTCTGTCGTCGCTGACTCATTCATTAAAGTGTTGGAGTCACTCTGTTAAATTGATTTAAAAACTATGACATATATAATACCCAAGATCACAATAGAATTACCCAACGCAATTAATATAACTCATTATACTTAACTAATTTGCAATCACTTGCTTTCGGATTAAACTATTTCAGATTCTTTAGCGTTGTTGATGAAATAAGATTAAAAATGACCGATATGTTGAATACAGGTTTTAAAAAAGTCGTTACTATAACGTGCTTTCAATTAATTATGTGCTTTTAATCTACACGTGTCAACTGATATTTATGTTTAATCTCTGAAGCTTGTTTAACCTAGTTTGATTGCAGCATTATTTTTCTCAAGTTGATCTGAATTCACTCCTTAGATTTAATCATTTCTGGTATATGACACTACCTAGCTAATCAACTATAGTCACTCCTAGTACACAACACTTATAATTACTTCTGGTTCGTTAAAGTGCCTGATCATTTTTATTTATTTCAGGTATACAGCAATGATTATAAAGTTATTATTAGTCGCTAATCATCAGTATCTTTTCAGAAGGCTTATAGTGTTTGTAATAGGATACATTTCTTCAGATGGCCTGGTGTTTGTAATGTAATCAGGTCTTAAGGAAAGCTGATGTTCCTAATAGAATCAGTAACTCTTCAGAAAACATACGTTTCTATAATAGAAGATGGTCCAAAATTACCTTTTCTATTTTAAAATGTAATAATTAAATAACTAAAGAAATATAACCATTCAGTTTTCAACACTTTGTAGACCAACTCAAACAGATTTTATTGTTATGTTTTTTTTTCACTCCAGTAAGTAGTGTTACCCAGTAAAATGGCCACCATGCAAATAATGTTTCAATGCGTCTTTTGGCTTGCAAGGTGAACCAATTCAGTGGCCTCCGCCTTCGTCAGACATCACTCCACTAGACTTCTTTCTTTTGGAGTACGTTAAGGACATCATGTATCGCAGGCCTATAGCAAACATCACAGAGCTAAAGACCAGGATAATACATACCATCGCCACTGTAACTGTGCGCATGTTGCAGCGAACGTGAACTGAAATCGAATATTGGTTAGATGCATTGAGAGCCACTAATGGTGCACGCGTAGCAGTCTACAGACATGTTAATAAAATATGTTTGAGTTGTATTACAAGATGTTAAAAATTGCATGGGTGTATTTCTTTACTTATTTAATCATTAAATTTTAAAATGGGAAAGATAAATTTGGACTACCCTGTATAACCAGTATTCTTCATAAAGACCAATGATTCTAATTACGGTTATGTACATTCTATATAAACTATAATGTGTCATTTCGTCATCGGTGCATCACATGAACTCACGAATAAGGAAGTATAACTTTGTCGTCCCAAGACTTTCTCTTCAGTATCAACGTCTTAAAGTTAAAGATTATGTGATATTACAAATTATCTAGAAATAGTTCCCTTAGATTATCCAGTTAAAAATGAAACTAGTGAGAAAAATGAAGCTACTGTTTCATCTGTATTGCCCTGCTATATTGGAATGAGCTAGAATATGCTTTTATATGCGATATATATACACATAATTTAAACTTTAATGTATGAATCATTTTATACTCATCTCATCCCCAGATTATAATCTCATGGTAACTGACGAAGAAACCATCTCCACCTACAAGTCTCCCAGTACCTCCCCTGTTTCTTCCCGTTACTTCTTGTCCTCGCCAAGTTCCTCTTCTTCTCAGCCTTCGGGAAGTAAGCAGAAGTAAGTGATTGGAACGTGTTAACCATGACGTTATAGATGGCGATTCAGTTGAAATGATGTGTATTTAGACAAACTAGTATTGATATAAGACTAGGAACAAACTCTTTAAGTGTATTTGTGTTCAAACCAGCACACAAAAGCAATTTCTAAATGCGTAAATACTTGTTAATAAGTCCTGCACTTTATCTTGAAGTTATAAGAATGGCATTATTTTAAGATAATGTAAACTTCTTGTTATAAGTTAAACTGTTGAACTACAGAATTTAAACAAAGTAATGAAAAAGCTAAGTTAAGTCAGTGCCCTGTTAGAAGGTAAATAAAATTTAAGTCGCTTAGCGTTTTGAATACTTGACTTGAACACCAGTCTGTAGGTTTATTCTATGCTTCCAAAAGTTGAATTATCAGAACATATGTTGTCTTTTGGTTCTGATGCCTTTTGTTATTAACCTTGTGCGTTGCTATTAGCGAGAATAAGCTCCCTAATGTAAATATCTTAGCACTTAGCAGCATTATCTACAGGAAAAAGACCGAAATAAAGTGTCAGATGAACAATTTACATCACTCTAAAGATTACGACTATCTGAGGCACCGCTGAAATAGGCGATCACCAGCATCAGCGCAAACAGGATAAAAGGTAATAACTGCTTAGCTCACCTCAAGGCACAAGTTCCAACCAATCAAGGAGCTCTCCAAGTGATCACCCGGCTCAGGACAACATCCGGAAAAACCTTCGCAAGGAGGCGGAGGCGGAAAGTAGAAATTTTAGATGATAGATCCTCTACTATTGATCCAATTATTATCAGAGATCTGGGGCAAATGTTTGTCCACCTTATTGTGAAGGTGTGGAGAATTACATTTTGGGTGTTAGTAAACGAATGTATAATCAATGTCAAAGGATAATGCCATTCAGTTGGTGTTATATAATAAGTCGAAGTAAGATAGAAAAAAAAAAGCCCTGCTAACTGAAAATATCTTACATAACACTTGAAGCATGCAGGAATATTTCGAATCTCACACCTTCCATGGGTCCACTCTACATTACGTTGAAATATATATATGGTTCGTGATGTGGTCTTTTCAACAAACATACACGTAAAATATTATCTGGATATCTACTGATACAAACTCGATTTGAAGAAAAGAAAAATAAATTATTAAGCGTATCAAACCTACGTACTCATATGTTAGTGTTCTGTTTTATTTTATTACAGTGACTTTGTTTCTTTAGAGCAAACCCACGTTGAGCTATCTGATGTGTCCACCGCGGGGAATCAAACCCCGGATTTTAACATTGTAACTCCGTAGACTTACTGCTGTCCCACCGGGGGACTATTTCAGTGACAGTAATATTTTTCGTTCTCATGTAAACGTTTACGTCAGTGAGATTCTAGTCACTTATGAGCTAGGCACTTATGAAAGTAGTAGAAGTAATCATATTTACATCCATGTGGTTAGGGCGCTCGACTCGCAATCTGCAGGTCGCTGGTTCGAATCCCCGTCCCACCAAACATGCTCGCCCTTTCAGCCGGGGGCGTTATAATGTGACGGTAAATCCCACTATTCGTTGGTAGAAGAGTAGCCCAATAGTTAGCGGTGGGTGGTGATGACTAGCTGCCTTTCCTCTAGTCTTACACTGCTAAATTAGGGACGGCTAGCGCAGATAGCCCTCGTGTAGCTTTGCGCGAAATCCATAACAAACAAACAAACATATTTACATTAAAATAACTCTTAATAATGATAGGCAATAATTAATAATGATAATAAGGTATATACTAAAAGTTATGATACTGCCATCCGGTTGCCTCCCAGTGGTCGATGGTTTGGAATTAGGAACAATGTAATGCTATCTCGACTGCACACTGACAAACGTGCAGCAATGGGTCTGTACAATTGGAGAGAGTATATATTATGCTTTGGCCGGTGCTAAGCTACTCATTCAGCTAGTAGACTTACTAAAACGTGAATTGTGTACATTGAAATCGATTCCCAACTTTTATACTCCTGCTGAATTAAAGTCCTGTAACTCCTTCTAAGAGTGTTTGAGTAGAAACGGAGAATGCACAATAAACTGTATTTAAAGTAGTAGAAACAAGATACAACTATAGAATGTTTGAACTTATTACCCAACTAATAATCTTCAAAACAGACAACCCTAGCAACCTTTGTAACTTCGTAAACTGGTGAGTATATTGTTGAACAAGATCGTTCTAGTTTCTTCAGTACATTAGATCTAGACCAAGTTCATGAAGATGCACTACAAACTTACTGTTTGTGTTAAATCATCATTTCTTGTTTAGATTAATGATAAAAAACTGATGATCTGACGAGAAATTAGCATAGTTAGCTGAAGATATAAATAAGTATATAAGATTAGCATAGCTAGAGAGATTAGCATAGTTAGCTAAAGACATAAAGAAGCATATAAGATTAGCATAGCTAGAGAGATTAGCATAGTTTGTTAAAGATATAAAGAATTATATAAGATTAGCATAGTTAGCTAAAGACATAAAGAAGTATATAAGATTAGCATAGTTAGCTAAAGATATAAATAAATATATAAGATTAGCATAGTTAGTTAAAGATATAAAGAAGTATATAAGAATATTTTAACATTAATAAGAAAACACCATGTTTCGGAGTTCTAAGTTGCACTCACACAGGCGGGAGCAAGGGGGTATTTTTATTTTTCTTTAAGAAAGATATGAATTCAAAAATCGTTACTGTACTTGCTATGTGATATAAGACACTTGTTTGCAGAATAAACGCGAATTACTAGGAATGATAATTTCCAGTTGTTGTTTTTTAAGGTACTTTTGATCTTTTCAGGGGAGAACAGTCACGAACAGGGTTAGCCAAGCTGGCTCGATTCTTAACATCAAAAGAAAGGACATCAGGCACAAAGACAAGCGATCTGTCTCCTTCAGAGGTGTAAGTATTATAATAGTGTTCGTTATTACATTTAACGCTCAAAATTTTAATATTAATACATAAAACTGTAAATTTACCCCTGTACAAGTACTTCCACTGCGCAACTCTACGTGCTACTGTATAATCCTCATCATTGTCACAAACTGTTTCAGGTTATATGTTCGTTTATCATCGTTATTAACCTTGATTTTTAACAACAGTTTCTTTTATTCATAACTACATTTGCATTTAATTTTCTAGATGTTTGAGTTAAACAATAATGGTTGAATTCCAGGACGTGTTTCGCTTGGAACAAAGGAGCATCTTCTATGCGGAGAGCCAATAGCATTGATAGTCTATTAGAGCTTTCTTGCGGCACTCAGATTATCGAAGTTTCGGAAGCTTCAGATACTGCCTCTGTGATCTCTACATGGAATACAAGCAACACAACCACAACCAGTGACACCCTCACTGTTCCGAATAATAAAGCAATTCCTTTGTCCCCCAGCGTCCCCTCCAAACTGGAAACTCACAAGAAAGGGAACATACCCTCCTCCCCTAGCATTCCTAATCGTCTTGCAAAAGGAATTACAGGTGAGATAGATACGTTACTTTAATGAAATTTAATTCTAAACTACATGTATTTTCTAAAACAAGTTTTATATAGCAGGTTCAATTAATAAAGAAAAAGTAATATGTAAAGTAAAAGGCAAATATTTTAGAGTGTTCAATTGAAAATGGTGACGAAATACAATGCTAGAAGCACTACATTTGCAATAAGTTCAATTTTTTTATTCGTATTAAATAAAATATTGATACAAAAAACAAAAAATGTGTAAAAGTATGTAGTTCTCATAACTTAACTGAAGTATTTATTGCAATTCTGATAGTTTTAATTATGTTTCGTTAAATGTTTTATCTCATTTTGGACGAATAACATACATGTACGTTCTTTTGTTTAGTCATATTGATTGGCGTTAACTTGTGTTATAGAGCACATGTACGTTATGAAACATCAACATGAACATCATACGGATTATGGTTGTCCAAATCTTCTAGAATCATTCCCTGTATGTAGAAAATATGAAAAAAGCTTATTGCTGTTTCATCGCAATCTTTTAGTGTTATTCTATAGACCAGAACAGCGAAATGATTAGCCCACTATTTTATTTTAAAACCTATAAAACCGTGTTTAGTTTATACGTTGTTATTAGCTCTAAACGTACATTCCTTTAAGTTACGTACTGAAATGTTGGACCTTCTCGTATCACTGACATTATTTTTGGTGGGTTAATGGAAGAAACCATTAAAGTTAAGAAGTACTTCATCTTCAGCGGCAAGCCTAAATTACTGCAGTGAATAACTTGGTTTAAAAATACTTAATCTGTAATCGTACCCTTTAACTGCTATTATATGTTCAGGCTGTATGAGAAGATATAATTTCTTCCTTTTTTTGTACTAAATTTATATAGTACGTTATTAAACTACATACGATTCATAATGATTTGTTGAGTGTTTTAACAAGATCCAGGTTAGTGGATGTTTCCTAGCAATGCTTTGTATAGACGGCATTGATTCAGGTTATCTTTTCAGCATGAAGATGAAGAAATAAGTGTCTTCATGAAAAGTAACCTTATATATATATATATATATATACATCACATCCGTTAAAGCAGTGGTTTAAAAAGAAAACAACCATTTTCAGTTTAATTTTAAATATCACAATAAAGCACATCCTTAAAGAAACGGAAGGTAAGAAATCTTGACAACATCCAAATATAATAGCCTATTGAGCGTTTTTTCAATTCATTGTAAGAATAGGGTAACAGTGGTGTAGGCTGAGAAAGGTTTTATTTGTGCTATTTACCGAGTTAAATATCTTTTATTACTAAGCTGTTGTTATTGTTTGTTATTAAGCACAAATTCAAGTAGAATTGGCAAAAACCCTCTCAGTTATACAATCCTTATAGCGTGTAAAAAACATCAAATAAACATTCTAGCGGTATAAATCCGCAGGCATACCACTGTGCCCCTGGGTGGGACTTTTATAATTGAGTATCGAGTGACATGACAGCTCTTATTTCATTGATGTTGGAAATTGTTGCTAATGAGCAGAAAGCAAAAGGGTAAAAAAAAAGAGAATTTCATTAGATCTTTGCTAAGGGTAGTCTAATTTTTCTAGTTACTGCTAAGATTGCGGATAAATAACTAGTGATATATATTATTTAACTTAAATTTATATACAGGTGATTAATTATATTATTATTTAACCTAACGGAATAAATAGCAACTTAATATTTTGTTCGACGTTTAATCAAACAGATCCAATTATAAATTACACTTTTATGTATCATTTTGTAAAAAAAATTATTCTTTTCAATCAAAATAATGTTTCTAATCAATATGATACATAAATAAAGGAACATTCTCAAAACAATACATTGACTTTGTGGGCGTTTGAAAGCTCGCCCAGTTGTCTCTGTTTATGCCTACCGTTGTTCGTTTATTGTATGTTGTGTTGTATCACAAATGTTTTTCTCTAGAATATACACATACGAGTAATATTATCTCATGCCTCAACCAATGCACCATACTTAAAATTTATAGACCAAAACAGTATCATGGCTATCAATTTCTACAACAATCTCCTTAGGTTAGTCATTTTCTTCTTTCATTCTCACATGAGAATCTTGGTATTAAATTTTATGCCAGAGAAACCTGGAACCTTTAGAGTCGGCATGTTCCCTAAAGGGATGCTTTTTAGCCAGCTGCTGTTTCAGAACATTCTTAAGTGAAGGGATAGATAAAGAGAAAATGTTTTGATTGATAGTAGCGATTTTTATTGTCTACAACTCCTTTGTTATTTTCTACCTTTATTTGGTTGTTGTTGTTGTTTTTTTTCGTTTTCTTCTCAAAATGTAATTCTGTGAGAAACACCATAAGAAATCGTTGAGAAATCAACCACATGTAGAATTGGCAAAAACCCTCTCAATTATACAATCTTTACTGTAGCGTGTAAAAAAAACACATTAAATAAGCATTATTTTTGTGTGCATTTTATGAGATGTTCCACTGAGCTTGTGAAGCCTATTTCTACTGTCTCTTTTTAGGAAACAAAAATGGCTTGCTATGGAACAGAATTGTGCTTAAAAGTTGGAACTATTCTGAAAAAAAAAAATACACACTTGCTTTGGAAGTGAAAGCAAACGTTGATTATTTAAACAATAATATTCAACATTTATAATTTCAAAATTATGTAGCCCCCCTCCAAAAAAAATCGGTTACTTGCAAACCAAAAATTTATGAAACATCTATGTGGAAGAAATACTGACATATTTAGTGCTGCCACACCTGCTAGCTGACCATTATAGAGTAGATCCCTAATTGTGATCACATTCTACCATGTCCATAACAACAATATTAACATTCTAAATAATACTTAAATTGTTGAAAAAACTCATATAAGATTACACTTTGTCCTTGGATTTTTTAAAAATAATTTAAATGTAATAAGTTTTTGTTTGTTTGTAATTAAGCACAAAGCTACACAATGGGCTATCTGTGTTCTTCCCTACACGAGTATCGAAACCCAGATTCTAGCGCTGTGCCACTGGGGGGCTATAATAAGTTATTGAACACGTTATTCAACTTATAGTTTCTAGCTTAAATTTAATACCATCAACCACCATCAACAAACTTATAACTGATTCTTAATGCTGCATTTAAATGTGAGAACGTTTAAATAGGAGATTTAAAAGTAATTTTATAAATGTTGTACAGGAGTTAAATATCAAAGTTTATTTTCCGATTATATCTTCTAGATTATATTGAAGAACAAGAATTTAATTAAAAACAAAGAATGAACAGTTAGAGCAAATACGTAGGTTAAAAATTCAGGAAGTATTGTTTCCTAGATGAACCAGACTGTGTCATTTATTACTTTTCTAAGTACCTTTTGTTCGCAATTGAAAAAATAAAGAGTCTAAGCATGTTGTTTAACTTTCTCTTTGCCTACCTAGAACTTAGAATACGCTTCCTAGTTTGAAATAAAGAGTCTAAGCATGTTGTTTAACTTTCTCTTTGCCTACCTAGAACTTAGAATACGCTTCCTAGTTTGAAATAAAGAGTCTAAGCATCTTGTTTAACTTTCTCGTTGCCTAGTTTGCTAGTTTTGAATTATTATTAAAACAGTTTAAATCGTTACCTTTTATATTCTCTACAGACATGGGCGTCCGCAGATAGCTTTCTAGAGGGGGGTGGGGCAAAATCAAAATCAAGGGACGATGGACCCGCCTTAAAATTTTTGCCATTACAGTCAAGAGAATAGGCAAGCTTCTACAGTCAGATTTGATAGGTTTAATATTTGTAAGGTTAGTTTAAGCCATACTGCAGACTTGCAGCTACATATTGGTTTGGTTTATTTGAAGTTAAGCACAAAGCTATACAATGGGCTATCTGTGCTAGTTGACCCCGATCACGCTAACTCATAGGATGTCTGCAAGGCTGTGTCAGTCTCTTTGATAACCTGCTTCCAGTACTACCGGCAGGTGGCAACAGGTTGACCCCGATCACACAGTGTCAGGGCTCAGGAGATGTCGGCAAGACTGTGTCGGTTTCTTTGATGACCTGAGTGAGAACTGTCATATCCAATATCCAAGAAGCTGCCGTGGTAGCGACGTTTTTCAATATTTAGCTACACGATAGGTATTTAGAGATTTTAAGTAAAGAGTGGCGGTGGGCGCTGTTGACTAGTTGCCTTCCCTTTATACTGTCAGTTCAACGTTAGAGACGGCTATGCACAAAATTCTTTTCTGTGACAGGTTTACTAGTTCTATTATCTAAATCAGTTTCACCAGAATCTATATTTACGCAAAGTTGAGACACTTTGTTTAAAGGAAGATTAGTTTAAGAAGGACTAAATATCAAAAATTGGCACAATACAGTGTTTGACAAACCTTTAAGATTTTGAAAACTTTCAGAAAATTGTAGCTATTTTAAACACGAATTTTATATTGGATATAAGAATTTATACAATTAAGAAACCAGCTGAATTATGTTTGTAGATATTAATGTGAAAAGGATTGGTCTGATTGAACAATTTGGCTTATTAGTGTTAAAAAACAGTAAGTCAAATTAGACAGATTGGTTTAATAATGTTGATAACAAGAGGTATTATTGGTGAGTCAAATCCTTCCATGCCAAAATGACACATAGGATCCAATGCTGGAATCCGACTTAATTTGCAAAAGTGTAAGAGAATGGTGTCATATTCCGCTTGGACGGGATGCCAGTCCATCGCTAAGCCCCAGCTAACAGCTAGCATCCATCATACAGCTGAGTAGACAGAAACAATTGGGGTAAAGTGTCTTGCTCAAGGACATAATAGCACAACGCAAGCCACTCTCGAACTCACAACAATCCGACTATTAGTTCAAAGTACAAAACCACTGAGCCACTCTGCCCCTAGTAAACACGTGTTTGCTAACAAAAACTCACATTTATGTACAATAATGTTATTTATTGTCTAGTTGATCGAATAATCTACAACTCAAGACTTAGCTCTAATTTCCCCTGTTTATTCTCACGTTATAAAA